AAACCCTGAAAGGGCAAGGGAAAAGAAAAAGCGGACGGACGAAGGGCCAAACACCGACCAGAGGAGGGGGGGAGGACGGAGAGGCCTGACACAACCTACAAGGTGAGAGCCAAAACCTACCTTTGGCACGCGAAGGACCCAAACCTGACCTAGAGAGGGAGTACGCATGAGATAGGGGCACAATGGGGAACTAGTTAATAAAAAGATGCGTCCAAAAAGTCATGCATGATTCGTGATAAGGCTCAAGGCCCTCGGTAGTCAATTCAACCCTATGAACGGCTGTCAGTAGTCCCCAGCTGCTTAAGTGCCTCACCAACGACCATCAAAAGAAAGAAAGTACCAAACTGGAAAGCATGAACCTGCCTGGCACATCATTAGTGTTGCATATGGCGACAAAAGCCGATCACTCATTCGAGCAACGTTGAAAAAACGAAGGTTTTCACGGCATTCAGCACAGCTTCAGCAGTGAAAAAGAAAGGTGAAGCCAAGTACGGCAGCCAGCTGTTCAACACTCAATCGATCGACAGGGTGAAAATCGAAAAATTGCCAACTGCTTCACTTTACTTAGGCGAATTGCTAGGTTAAAAGTGTAAATTCAGAGGTCAAGTCAAAGGATCAAACATCCTACCTAGACAGGTATTCCCCGAAGGGCTCACGGCATCTTGCCGAACCGACGTGAGTAACACACTTGCTCAGAACTGTCATTACGAGTTCTGTTGCGGAATGCATCTTACGTGCAAAAACACTTCCACGGTGAAGAGACCCGACAAAGTATCAAGAAGCTACCATCGTCGTAGCCAGCGCAGTTGAAATCAAATAGTTGAAGAAAGCAGGCTCAGTTTGAATTAAAGATTAGATTCCAGCAAACGTGCAGGCCTCGACATGAAATTGTCGAAAATGTAGAAAATGTCGGATGGGGTTCTTGGCTCTAGCCCCTTGCCACAAAGACGGAAAAAACAATGCAGCTACAAGTAGTTGATCAGACCACTCATCCACCGAAATGCCATAGCTTCGTCTGGATAGGCAAATCGGCTCCAGTCCCCCTGCAAATTTATAAAAAGCATTGAAAAGGAATCCCAAATTAGAAGTTTTACATCTCTTCAGATGGTTCACACACACACTAACTATGCACTGTAGATGGCGCAATTCACTTTGGGAGGCATAAAATACACACGCCGAGCTGTAAATAACACGGTTCGCACACCTCCTCCTTTCCCTTTCCCTTTCTCCTTTCCCTCTCCCTTTGCCTTTCCCTCTCCCTTTGCCTTTCCCTTTCTTATTTCCTCTTCTCCTCTTCTCCTCTTCTCCTCTTCTCCTCTTCTCCTCTTCTCCTCTTCTCCTCTTCTCCTCTTTCTCCTCTTTCTCCTCTTTCTCCTCTTTCTCCTCTTTCTCCTCTTTCTCCTCTTTCTCCTCTTTCTCCTCTTTCTCCTCTTTCTCCTCTTTCTCCTCTTTCTCCTCTTTCTCCTCTTCCTCCTCTTCCTCCTCTTTCTCCTCTTCCTCCTCTTTCTCCTCTTCTCCTCTTTCTCCTCTTCTCCTCTTTCTCCTCTTCTCCTCTTCTCCCCTCTTCTCCTCTTTCTCCTCTTCTCCTCTTCTCCTCTTCTCCTCTTCTCCT